TTAAAATTGATAATAATTCCATTAATGCACTTATCCACACACATGCAACATCAATACACTAAAATAGTCTTAAAAATAAACATTGCCATCAAAATCCAATGAGATTCTACTTGACATCCATTTGGATGGCTATAATCCAAATGACAGACAGTAATAACTTTTGGCAAGGATATGGCGAAATTGGAACACTCGTGTATTTCTGGTGCAAATGTAAAATGGTGCAGCCACTTTGTAAAATAGTCTTGACATTCCTCAAAAGGTAAAATACAGTTACCACATCACCCAGCAATTTTAACCCAGGTATAGAGCTAAAAGAAATGAATACATACAACTACACAAAAACTTGTGCACAAATACTTATAGCAGCATCATTCCCAATAGCCAAAACGTGTAAAAAACCCCAAAGTCCATCAACAAATAAATGAATGAAAAATGTGATATATACATATCCTGTAATGGAATGTTATTCAAACATAAAAAGAAATTAAGTACTAACTCATACAAGTATGAAACTTAAAAACGTTATGTTCAGTGAAAGAACCATACAAAGAGCTACGTATTATATAATTCCATTTCTGTGGTAAATCCACAGAGGCAGAAAATATATTAGTTTGCCAGAGGGCAGGGGGGAGGGAAGTAACTTTTCATGGGTACAAGGTTTATTTTAGGTTTATTTTATTCTTTCTTTATGAAAGAAATGGTTTGGATTACACAGTGGGGATACTCACACAACTTTGTGAATATACAAAAACCCACTGAATTATATACATTAAAAAGGTGAATTTATGATATATGAATATTTCAGTTAAAAAACAAGGAAGCAAATACTGCTAATCATTCAACACCATGCAACACTGTAAAAGTTCCTTTGATTCCTACAGAAACTTCATATTTAGGGGACTATAATAGTCATTATATTAAATGTATTAAGATCTTCATTCTTTTTTATTTTCCTCCAGGAGAGGTTCTAAAATGATCTACTCAAAACTCCATGGGTACCATTAAGTTAATAATCCATTATAGTGATTAGGTTGGAAAATTAAGATATTCCATGGACTGTTCCAAAACTATTTTTCCAGACTCATCTCATTGTTCAACCACATGTGCCTAATCCTTTAGCCACACCAGACATATCAATCCTTCATTTGCCATCCCTTGCTCCTTCATGTCCCTTTTCACAAACTATTCTATTGGCCTAGAATGCATGACCTACCTTCCCTGCCTTAACAATGCCTCATGAATTTCACAGCTTCCATGAGGTTTTAAGAGCCTCCACCTAAAGTGACCTGCACCCCCACCTTTTAGTCTCCTTACAGTTTGTCCTTAACTTTTTAAAAATGTATATAATAATTTCCATAGAGTTTCAATTTCCCACCCACATTTATTTTCTCCAGAGCAAGCAGATCAGATATTGCTTGGCTTTAGTTTTTTTAAAAAAAATGATTAAAATAACCTATTTTTGTTTAATTTTTCTTTCCC